CCCCGCGGCCCTAGGACAGGGCAGGCCCTGGCCACGCCTAGGCTGCACCCGATGGGGAGCGAGAAAGGGGAAGTGGTGCTCTCTGCGCCGCCTGTCCAGCTCAGCCTCTTCTCCCACAGGAAGCTGGGCCCTTTAACTTCACAGGGGCACTGCATCCCGCTGGCCTCACCTGAGCCCTGGCGGGGGCTGGGGCCTCTGATGAGCTGACAGCCCAGCTTCTTGTGGTCCATGAAAGCGGTGATGGCCTCCAACGGGAAGGTCTGCAGGCAGCGGCCGCAGGTCAACAGATCTGGGTGTTTGTCGGTCCAGGGCTGGCGGTCTGCAGGGAGGAAGCGGGCGGTGAGCGTGGGGTGGGGCCACGATGGGGGCTGGGGGTTCCGAGGAGGAGGGGAAACCCGCAGGTCAGAAGGGGGCCTGGAGACCAGGACCGGCCTGGGAAATAAGGCAGGGGCGGGGGTCGGTGCCCGGAGGAGGGGGTCCCACGCCAGAGGGGAGGGAGAGGGAGGAGGGGCCCGGGGCAGGGGCAGGGGGCGCTCACCGTGCGGGTTCGGGATCAGCGGCGTCCACAGGGCCCACGGGTTCCGCGCGCCGAGGGCGTGGAGGGGGCCCCCGGCGGGCACGGGGCCGGGGGAGTGGCGGGGTTCGCCCTCGAAGCGCCCCGGCGCGGGCACTTCCTCCGGGGAGACGGGCGCCAGCCCCGGGGCCTGTAGGGGCCGCGCGTCTGGCTCGGGCTTCACTTCGATGATGAGGTCCGGCATCTCCATCTCGTCGTCTGGGGTGGCGGCGGGCGCGGGGTCCACTCGGCGGGGCGTGCAGCCGGCCTTGCGGCGGGACATGGGTCACGGGCCGGGCGGGCTGGCGGGCGGGCGGGCGGAGGACACGCGGGCCGTGCGCGCTCAGACCCGGACGCTCAGGTGAGTGACTGCGGCGACTCGCCGCGAACTCTTACACGTGCTGGGCCGGCCCAGGCTCCGCCCCCGGGGGCGGGGCCTCACGGGAGAGGACGAGCGGCCCCGCAGGGGCCCCGCCAGCAGCCAAACTCAATCAAGGCTGGGCCCACTGCCTTGGCTCAGTGACCAGCCCTTAACGACACCGAGTTCACGCCACCACACGTAGCAGCTGTTCCTGATCCTGTTTTCCGGCTGGTGAAACTGAGGCACAGGGTGGCCACACATACCCCCAAGCGAGAAAACGGTAGGGGCCACGTTTCTAGCTGGGCGCCTAATAGTCATCGGGACTATTCCATTAAATGCTTTACAATAAAAATTCACTGGGCAGACATTTATTGAGCACCTACTGTGTGCCAGGTTCTGTTCTAAGCGCTGGGGGATACGGCAGGGAAGAAAACACAGTAATCCCTGGTCTCACGCAGTTTATTCGTTTGGGGAGACAGACTTTCCACAAGGTGATTACGTGAAATACAGAGTGCCTTCCAGGCTGACAAGTGCCATGGAGCAAACAAGCTAGGCAGGGTTATAAAGGGACAAGGTTACTGGGGTGGGGGGGCTCTCGATTTTCCCCCCATGCCAGGGCAGGGCAAGGTGGAGTTGCCACCTGTGGGAGGTGAGGGAGTAAGCCAGCCAGCCTGTGTATTCAAGAATAACAAGGCGGGTGGGTACAGGGCTGGGTGACTGAGTTCCGTGAGAAGATGAGGTCAAATCCCAGAGGGTCTTTTGACCACTTTCAAGGCGTTTGGATTTCAAGACTGGAGGTTTTGTGCAGAGGAGGGGTGTGATCATATATACTTATTCTGCTCCTAGACCTGGAATCGCCATTAAAACCCAACAGCCAACTGTCATACCTCCCTCCACCCGGGCCTCCTTGAACTTCCCTCCTCAAAGCAGCTTTCTCTGATCACCGTTTGAAGTGGCATCGACACCCTGCCCCACCCTCCAACCCCTGCAAGTTTTCTTCTCTTCCTGACACCGACCACATCATAATATAGAACTGCTTGTTGACTGTCCTCTCCCTCCACCCACCCCCGGCCACACACACAAGCCCCCTGAGGTCTGGGCCAGGGTCTGTCCTCCCCCATGTGTCCCCAGTCCTGCACTGAGTCAATTTCACATGCTAATCTCCTGGAGTGCTGCTCCAGGCCTGAGGGTTCCTCATATTGTTATTCAGGTCTCAGCTCAATGGTCCACATGAGAGCAGAGGACCTCCCTGACCACCGGATCTAAAGTAGCCCCACCCTGCTGAAGGCCTTACAATTTACACTCCATGACCTCCATCTGTCTCCAGTTCCTCCCGGGCCTCCGTTTCCCCATCTGTTACCTGAGGTGGCGTCCTCTTCCCTGCCACCTCTTCTGACCACCCAGTTAGAGAATCTCCCCCAACCCTGCCACCCGCCATCCCATTGCCCTTATTTTATTCCTTTTACATCACTCATCAAGAAGGATCTTGATGTGTTCACTCGTGTATACCCCATTCTGCCCCTCCCAGCCCCCTGGAATGGAGGTTCTGAGAGGCCAGGAGCCGAGTCCATCTTGTTCTCAAATAGATCCCCTCCCTACTCGTTCATAGTTCAGCCAACAAATACGTATTAAGGTCCTGCTATGCACAATCTTTCAATAGATATTTGCACAGGGCCTGTGTGCCAGGCACTAGGTCCTGGCGATCTAGTGGGAAGCAGAGGCCCCTGCCGTAGTGAAACCGTGTGGAAGAAGTGAATTCTGTCTGAGCCCAGAGCAGCAGGTCCAACGGCATCCCAGGCCAGAGCATCTGCCTTTCAGGACCTCAGTTTGCTGCTCTGTAAGATGGGGCTGCAGGACAAAACCACGGCCTCTGATCCATCCCAGCTGCTGTTCTCCTGGTGCATGGCTGCTGCGAGCACGATCTCAATGCTTCAGCTAGGGGAGGTGGGGTTCGGCCTGGAGGTGAGGAGTGGGAGTGTGCACGTATAGGCGATGGGGATGCAGAGACCGAGCTCTGCCCTTGGCTCAGCCGGGCGGAAGTCCTCCCCTCTCTGAGACTCAGTGTCTTCTTCCGCAAAATGGGCATCCCGGACGCCCCAGCCTCGCGGACTGGCGGATCCGATCCAGGCGCCCGGCCCAGCGGCCGGCGGCGTGGTGCCCGGGGCTGCGCCGGCCTCCGAGCC